TGTTCGTATTTGACATCAAATTCTACGTTTCCTGGTGCTGTCGTGGTCTGTTTCTCAGTTAGTAGGAAATCAAGGGCGGAACGGGGCTTCCAACCAAGATGCAGTTGGTTAGGAGTCATGCCAATAGCGCTGTGTACAACGTTCTTGTACAACCTGGCGACGAGAGCCAATTTCTTGTCCCAGTCATCCTGACTTGGCTTGATGTAGTGCCTTGGTAATTGTTGCACTACTTAGTTCACTTGTTCCGCCTGTCCATCTGACTCAGGGTAATTCCCTGATGTCATCTGCAGTATGGTGCCCATATGTTGGGCTGTGCTTTGCCATAGTTCGCTTGTGAATCGTCCATCCCGTTCACTAACGATAGACTTGGGTAAATTGAAGTCTCGTACCCAGTTATCCATAAACAGTTTGACGACGTAGTCAGTTTTGACAGTCTCAGGCATAGCAATTAGTCTTGCATAATTAGAGAAGCGGTCTACTACAACAAAGATGTGCCTTTTCCCATACCTGCTGGTCACAAGAGTATCCATGAAGTCCATGAATACACTTTGACCAGGACCTTCAGGAATCGGCAAGGGCTTGATGAGCCCGAGCGGAGCCTGAGTCCTAGGTTTGACCAGGACCTTCAGGAATCGACAGGTTTCAACATACTTCTTGGCATCTTCCATCATAGACGGCCACCATAATTTATGTACCAAGTTAGCTGACGTTTTCCTATAACCAAAATGGCCAGTTGCATCATGACGCTCACCTAAAAATAAACTACGCAAAGACTCTCTATTTGGAACACAGTCCTTTATTCCTGCCTTGTCAAGAAACAGCAAGCCGTCTACCATCGTAAATTCATCCGGAGTCGCTTTGTCCTTCGCTTGGAATTTACGGATGATCTCATATATAACTGGATCTTGTCGATAGGCTTTCACCAATGATCGAGTTAGATCATTAGATATGTCAAATTCAGTTACTAACGCGCCCAAATAGTTTGTCTGACGTGATAGTGCATCAGCTACTTTGTTGTACTCTCCCTTGATTGGATCAAGTTGATAGGCACACGTCTATCACTTGAATCCACTGCTTGAGTGCGTCAGAGAGTACAGGTTGTGTCTTGATCCAGTGCAAGGTCTCATGGTCAAATCTCACATAGAAGAATCTGCCTAGGAGATAGTGTCTCCAGTGGACCAGCGTTCGGTACAGGGCACAAAGCTCACACTCATAAGTAGATCTGGCTAGTTTCTGAGATGGCATCTTTTTACTCGTATATTCGATCGGTCTCAACTTGGCCCCTCCTTTTGCGCAAGGACCGCGCCTATGCCATATTGACTAGGGGACAGGGTCTGGGTTAAGTCATATGAAATGGGACAGGAACTGGGAATATCTAGAAAACTGATGTCACAGTACTTCGGTCCCTGGGAGGTCCTAGACATAGTGGGGGATCAGGTAGACGGACCTTCCTATGTGATTCACATCCCACCTCATCTACATACACATCCAGTTTTTCATGCCTAAGCTGGCACCTTGCGCAGAAACTACACTGTTTCCTTCCAGACGGTCAATGCTGCCCCCAACCATGGATGGTGAAGTTGACATCGACGGAATTGTGGAGCATCGAGTGATGCCAGTACCTAAACCGCCGGGTAGAGGCCGCCCTACCGTGTCAGATTCAGGCATCATCTGGATCCCAACGAAGATCGATGGTTCACCAGAGAAGAACTCATGCGAACAGCACCTCAAGTTATTGCAGGCTATGAAAGAGAACTCAAGAGGAAGATGCCTGCAGATTAGAAGACTTCTCAAAGGACTATCAAGAAAAGGAGGAAGGAATGTGAGGATCTGGGTCCTCAGCAGGCCTAAGGCCCTAAGGGGCCTCTTGCTGCAGATGTGCCTGCCCTAAGTGATGGCGGGCCTAACAAATCATGAGAGGCCCTAAGCTGTCAATTTCGTATTTGGGGTCCAGGCAGTTTCGTCGCCCCAGTTGGTTGAGGGAAACACAAGCCGCGCAGCGAGGCGTTCCACGGCCTTCCAGGCCTTCCCCAAAAAAAATGCAGGCCCTGGACGAGAATCGCAGGCTCATACACAGACAGTTGGGAGGCCCAACCGAATGAGGCCCAGTAGCTGCAACAGAGGCGCAGCATCCTGGGGCCTACCAAAAGCTTCTGGGCCCAGGCCCAGGCCAGCCAGGCTGCGAAGGCAGGCAGGCTCTTTCCATATAGGAAAGAGCTCGCTGCCTGGAGCTTCACTCAACACTTGCATGCTGGCGGCAGCGCTGCTGGAGCAGACGCTCGTGGGCTGCTGCTGGCGCTGAGAGGCAAGGTGCCAGAGCGTGCGGTCGTGTAGGGAGCAGGGCGCTGCTGAGGGCGGCGCCGTAGCCCAGCCCCCATAGCTGGATGGGCTTGGACTACAGTGAGGTGAAGGGGTGGTCTTTGGGTGTACAGAGGGAAGACGTGGGAGTAAGTCAGGGGAGAGAGAGAAGGATGATGATGATGATGTGAGGGCACATACCTGGTATTGGCGATGGTCTGCATTGGGCGACATCTTCCAGTACTTCAGGGGCTGATGACGTCAACAGTTGCATTGTCAATTAGTAGGCAGACTGTAGCTGTGTAGGAAGTAGGCTGGGCGCCGAGCACCAAGTAGGGAGATAGGGCCTGGACACTCATGTTGGTGGTGGCGAGAGCAAGCTCTCATTGACATTGGTTTTCAGTGTTACGATTCTTCATTGGTGTTATATTGGTGCATTTCTACTTTCTGGACACTGTGATACTATCTGGCCTTCAATGTGATTGTGCATTCTGGACATTGTCATCTCGCTATTGCTCATTTTCCTTGCACCCCCCTTGCCCCCCCTTTAAAGCGAACACTCAAAAAAAGAAAAGAGCCCGGACTTGGGCTCCTCTCCGAGAGCGCAGAAAACCCCCACCGCCTTTTTTTTTTTTATCTATTTTTTTCCCCATGCGCGGTCATGAAAATCTTCCTAGCTATATTCTTATTTACTTTACCTGTTCGATCTCTTTTGTATTTATATTATTTATATATCTTTGATTATTAATCATTATTTCCATTTCTCCTTTGTAGATCTTTAGTTATTAAGGAGCTGTTTGATGTGAATACGACCGTCCCAGTTTGGAATCTCACCGGCATCACGTCTTAGATTACCCTCAATCATAGGGAGACATCTGGGTTTGTTCTCTCGGACGCCGCAGCTCCGCATTTTCCTTTGACACAACCGTCATCAGACGTGGCGGAACCTGTTTCACCACAATGCAGTGGGAGAGAGCACTCAACAACAAGTGAAATAGGCAGGATGGCATGGCGGAGGCGGGTGGGCAGACAGACAATATAAGGTGAAAGACACGAGGGAACAAGGCATAGGGCGATAAGCAGCACAATGGGCACACAGGCTGGAGGGCACGGGGGAAGTGGGCGGGCAGGACAGCACACAGCGTACCCAGGGAAAGTCCTGAGGCGACAAGTCATAGGACAAACAGCGGGAAAGGACAAAGGCTGGAGGGCACGGGAGAGGCGGGACGGCAGAGCACGGGGGAGGCGGGACGGCAGACGTTACACAAGTATACCAAGGGGACGACGCACAAGCACACTAACTGGACTAAGCAGATGACACAGAAGCACACCAAGCAAACGACACACAAACACGTCAAACAGACCAAACAGTGGACACAAAAGCACGACAAACAGACCAAGCAGACAATGCAGAAGTACACCAAACAAACAGACCACAAAACATACTCGTCCCAAACATTTGCAAAGACCGAAAAAAGAAAAGAAGCAGGAGCCGCTCCCCAATAGATGGAGCCCCTGACAAATGCTAGCAGTGTCTGCGCTCTTACCAGCACCCCTAGCAATTCTGCGGGAGTCTTCTTTAAAAAAAAAAAAAAAAGAAGGAAAAAAAAAGAAAAAGAAAAAGAAAAAAAAGACAGACAGAGAACACAGAGAAAGACCCACAAAAATGACTGTGTGTGTGTGTGTGTGTGCGTGTGTGTGTGTGTGTGTGTGTGTGTGTGTGTGTGTTACCCTACGTTACCCATGGCACTAAACGCCATGCACCTCACAGCAAGCTGCGATACCACTGTTCATGTCACAGGTCACAGGCTGCACCCGGACTTATGTGCGTGCTCCATTGGGCAAAGCAACCTTCAACCATTGAATCAGCCACCCTCTTTTGGAAACAATGATTACAAAGAATTCAAGCAACGGCCTGGTCCTCTTCTAGGGCCGACTTCAGGATGATAGAGACGACAGAATAAAATAAGAAGGGTGACAAACAGTTCACCATCCATCTGAGGAAGTACGAAAGGTGAGCAGGTTTCATCAAGTTATTCCTTGGGGACTCATCCTTGATCAAGTTGATCACACGGCTGAGAGCATGAGGTTGGCTCGGATGAGGTGATGCGTAGTTTCACTTTCATGGAGTCTGTATCTGTACCAGGGAACACCCTACCGGACACCTGGCCCTTGGTCAGACCTTTCGAGATCTGAAGATGGACTCGAACTGGTACCCTGTGAATTGGCAACTGCGATTTAGTCGGTCTATCACTTGTTTAGTACAGTGTTTACTACCGAGACTCGAACCCGGGTTCTGGACCCATATATTCTGTTTAGACTAGGCGATCATTAGGGAATGTCCTCGAACCACTTCCCTGTAACCTGGTACTGGAGACTTAGTTAGGAACCGGTTTCAGTACGACGCTTCGAGCTGGTACCGTAGGACTGTAGGTAGGGACATGAGCATCGATGTTGACGAGGAATTAGCCATAGAGTATTTTAGTTGACAGTGGTAAGACAGACATCCTTTCGTCCGAACGGACGATAACGTGACGCACTGTTAACGTGTTTCACATTTTCGTAATTGATAATGTATAGAGCTTTTTACTCGTACATGTTGGTTTCATGTTCGAGTGTTGCTGATGACTGAGCATGCGGTACATGTTGTTGCTTCCTGCACTTATGGTCGTAACCCACTAGGAAGTGATACCTAGAAGAGGTGGCGGCGATCTATTAAGTTGATTCGTGTGATCCGATTGAATTGTTCATCGATAATTGGAGAACTCACGCTGAGAGGTGTTTGTTGATTGCGACGGCGATTGTGAGAAGATGAGTAAAGGAGACAGTGGGCACCATGGGTCTGGTGAACTTGAAGGAAGTTCGAGGGGTGGGGATACTAGAAAGTGCTATAAGTGTGGGGAAGGGGGTCACTTCATTCGCAAGTGTGCCGAGTATTGGCAAGCCCGTGCTCATGGTGTTCCCTTCGTACCCGCTCCCTACCAACCATCTACTAATCGTGGAAGATGCCTCGAGGAGGAGCTGGTCTGCTCATGGGGGCATAGCGAGAGGTGAGGTGGATGATACTAATGCCTTGATGCGCGAGTATCTGGTGCAAAACGTTGCGGACAAGAAAGCGAAGAGGGAAAAAGATGAGGAAGTACAGAAAAAGAGAAAGGAAGAGGCAGCACTATCAGAAAAAAAACGAAAGAAGTTGATGAAGCAAGAAGAGCGTTTTCGGATGGAAGAGGAACGGGATGCGAGACTTTTGCGAATCATCAGAGGCGAGATGAGAAAGGATAGTGAGGACAATTATAGCAGAAGTAACACTTGTCGAAAAGGTAAGATGAAGTCGACGGAACTGTCTGAGTCTACATCAGAGGAGAAAGAGCGCCTGCGGAAGTTCCTTGCGCTTTGCGGGGACATCGATCACGACGATACCAGCGATGAAGAACTAAAACTACTACTACGAAGGACTGCTAAGTTGGTGATCAACGAAAAACGAAAGCGCGGGCCTGAAGTGAACATCGAGAACAGCCCACCAATGGTGACTCCTGAAAAGAAGGCGAGTAAGAGACCGTTAGAAGAAACGAAGACCAAGATCGACAAACTACGCAACACGAAAATCATACTCAAGGACCTGGGCACGCCTCGTAAGATAGATTTATCATTGAAGCACCTCTCGACATCTTTCGGAGTTGGTGGGAGGGAGAAATTCGAACACGAGTGCTGCGACTTCTATGATGCCCTGACGATTGACGAGCTGAAGGAAGTATGCCGTCGAAAAAAAGTGTCATATGGTAAGAGGGAGCTCGCAATGAAGAGGCTAGTAATTAGACGGTCGGTCGTTGCTTACAACCTCGCCTATCTGCCACTACCAACTGCAACGACGAGTAAAGGGAAGTCCAAGAGCATCTGCTCCAAGGAGGTACCTGAGGACAGTTCGACCGTAGACAGTGAGTCGGAAGAGGACGATGAGGATGAGGAGTGACGAGTAAGTGAGGTATGGAAACTAGCAGAGAACGCGAGTGAAGACCGATTAAAGAATAATGGCAAGAAGAGAGCGGATGAGCGAATTATGCGTGCGTCAGTGATCAACTTGATTCTGGATGGCAAAGTGAAGTGGGGCGAAAGGTTTGTGGAATATTTGCATCAAGCAATCGAGATTGGAACATTCAACCTGGCGACACCGAAGAGCTGCGTGTATATCTTAGTGTCGCCATGGAATGAACGAACGCAATCCAATAGGTTGTCGATGCGAGGTAGGGGCTTCGCGTTCTTAACGGTGATGGCATTGAGGCCCCTATAGTCAATGCACATCCTTAGTGTACCTCCCTTCTTAGGGACAAATAAAATTGGCGCACCGTAAGGGGAGGTACTAGGTCGAATCCATCCCTTCTCTGTGAGCTCTTTGAGTTGGCGGCAGAGCTCATCCAACTCCGCGGGAGACATCCTATAGATGCGTCCTCCAGGTACCTTACTACCGGGGACAACCCCTCTTGCATGGACCACCTCTTTAAACCACTCCTATGGGCTCCTAAAAAAGGTCAGGATACTGAGCGACGACTGATTCAATCTTTGGGGGTGTTTTTACGGCCTCCCCTTTCTCAGAGACAAAGACTAGATACATGCCCTCCTCGCTATTCTGCTTATAGTAATAGAAAGAGGAGGCACACATGCAGCCGTAGTTTTCCACTAAACTGCTAGCTTTAAACTTTTGCAGTCTAACGGTTCTACCGTTGGGCAGCTTGTGTATCAACACCTTCTTATCCCAATCAAACTGAGGTTGAGCAACTCGAGGTAGTACATGCCTAGCAACATATCAAAAGTTAGTTCGCTGCTAACGAGGAATAAGATTTTGTGTCTCACTTCCCCTGCTCCATAAGACAAGGAACAGACTGCGTCCTTGACATAGTCTTTAACTACCATTTGGTGTTTGTTGGCTAGCGTAAAAGCTACAGTTCTGCTAAGCCGTTGTACTTGGTCCCCTAAGCGCAGTCTGTCCACACAAGCACGAGTAATGAAATTTCGTGTAGAGCCTATGTCTGCGAAGACACCCACTTTGCGGCCACCTACATTGACCTTTACCACGAAATGTTCGCCCTTAGGACCTCTACTAATCATCGCCCAAGAATCTTTGGGGTCCTTCCCTGACCACTTAGATTGTAAATCTTTTAGGGACTCAGACACATCTCTCGAACAGAGCATCGGTGGGTTTGAATGTGTCTGCGGGGCGATGCATGGGTCACTAGCCTTGGCCAACGCCTAAAGTGGGGAAGGCAACATTACCACTTCAGCGCGAGTAAGAGCAGCTAACACTCCTACTGGCCCGAGGTGTTTCCCTGCAAAGTCCTCGCAGAAGCATTGTTAGGGTTCGAGGATAAGCCCACTACCGTTGGAGCAGCTACCCTCGTGTTGACCTTCTTGCCTCCACAAGTTCTTGACGTGTGACCATAATTGCCACAGTTCATGCATGTGTCCCTAGCAACTTGGTCCCTCCACACCACCTCGTAATCTAAACCAAGTTTTACCCATGCGGGTGTTCCTTGGTCACCCTGACCCGTAGACCGGCCTACCTTCTGCTTCCCGGTCCCCCTAGCTTTTTCTTCGATGCATGCCACGACTCCCCCATCTGAAGTCTCATTGGCCCCACAAAGCTCTGTCTCATCCCCAAGGTCTAAGAAATTGTCAATTTCAGTCGTTTGACCATCACGAACATTAGTTGACCTTCTTCTAGTCCTCGGGAAGTCTCTTCTTCCTACCATCTCCCTGACTTTGATGCGCGGACCCAAGATTTGCCTCTATCTAAGGATTTCTTGCTGAAAGAGGCGAAGTTATATTGGTCGACATAGGCCTCGTCCACCAGTTTATTTTTGACATCTAAGAGCAGACATCTCAAATAATTCGTGAGGAGTATCTGCTGGTCGTAACGCACACCAGGTACCACGAGCAGGCGTTTTACGATGTTTGTGAGCTCGCGGACATTCTTGTACCTTTTGGCACAAAGAGTGTTGATCGCGTCGATGACCTTCTAAGCCCTTTGAGGATCATGCCACCTATTGCACACAGATCGTACGAAGTCCTCCAATGTTTGGGTCGAGGCCCAGGCATCGAAATTCCGACCGTAGCCCTGTTGCTACACTAAACCATTTAACCAACGCGCTGTCAATCCCTCTAAAAAGGAGGCAACAACTATAACTTCTTCCTCTAGCCTTGTGAGCTTATGCCTCACATAAGTACGCACAGTCCTCATCTAGGTATTCAGATCCTCATCCTTCTTCCTGTTGCCAGAGAAGGGCTTAGGACTCAGCAAGGGTATCTTGGGCATCCACTGCATAGGTTGAATTTGCCCAGACGATTGCTGCAGTGGCTGCATAACCATTGATCCAAACAATGACGTTGTAGTTGCCACCGTCCTCGATGGTACGGAAGAAGAGATAAGAGTCGTACCACTAACTACTGGTTGACTACTTTGAAAGAGGAATGCCATACATAGGTGAGAAAGAGGACCCTACAGGCGACGACGTCACTGAGGGACCCGCGACCAAAGGAGGAGCAACAACATATTGAGGTTATCTCATCATAGGACAAGGATCCAGCAATGCAGCCAGCATTTGTTTCTGGCCTGCCACTAGTTCAACCAGCACTTCCTGTTGAACAACCTGCGTTTCCGGTACGCACAGCAGCGAGTTCGCAGCGCTTGCATAGCAGAATCAAGTGTTGATTCATCTAATGCTTCTAATTTGCTTAGCTTTTGTCTCCTACTCCCTAGTCTAGCTTTTCTAAGTATAGCCCTTCACCTCCGTTGCCTCTCTCAGTTGCTTTTGCAACTCATGCAGTTCTTCTGCCTGGAGGATCTCATAATCCTCTGGTAAGAGTGAAGATTGTTCGTTGACTTGCAAGCCAACTGATTGACTAACCATACGTTGGGTACCCTTACTCATTCCTGACGAAGAGGCCTGGGGGACAACCTATGACACTCTGGGAGAAGCAGCCATAATTGTGTCTCTGCTGACCTCAGTCCTAGCCCTAGCACTAGCTGCAGCTGATCTTCCTCTCCGCAATATCTCCCTTGCCCCCGCTTCCCTTCGCAATCTCCTTTCGTCTCCCAGACCTAACTCCTGTAGGTGAGTGGACGACTGAGAGCGGTTACCATGAGGTCTTCGACTAGTTCTTCCTCCTCCTCACTATTGACAGCTTCACTCATGAGCTACAGTGTGTGTAGTCTAAACTAGAACCCACATTGGATCCTACCTCAGCATGACACACAACCAATTAATGTCGGACTCTAAAGTCGGTAAGCCTAAGGAGAAGTAGTCAAGTGGTAACCAGCAATCAATGTCAGGTCCAACACGGAATACTAAATCTATTTTTAGATTACTATGAAACAGATTGCATGCAGCAAGGACTTGCGGCAAAGCATGCCTGTACTAGTCCCAGCGGGTTGGGATGGTGACCGTGACCCGAGTGCTTCGTCCAGGGCCCTTCAGAGGCTTCGCCCGTCTCCCACCAGCTTGCTGCGCAGGAAGAATGTCAAGGTTGAGCGCTCGCAACACCTCACATTGAGAGGACTCTCAAGACAGAACTCACTTCCTCACGGTAAGAAGTAATGAAGAGGGTAGATAAGCAAGAGAGCAGTGTACCTCATAATGTTGCCCCCAACCACAGATTTCTCACCGGCAACCTGATGTGCATTTTATGATGACCGATCTTTGCATTGGCACAACCAACAGCAGAATACAGTTCCACCTCGACTTAAATGCCACATCAGCGAGTTCTCATCATCCAACGTACACCCTAATGCCACCACATAGCTTCCTGGTGCGCCCACACGACCCTGGGCCGCCAATCGTTCAACGCCCAAGCCTTATCACTGCCCCACACCTCATGCAAAGCACCAAACAGCTATTGTGAAGAACCAATGAATCGCAGTCCAAACCAGCTCCTATACCAAATTGCAAGGAAAACGAGCAATAGCGAGATGACAATGTCCAGAATGCACAATCACATTGAAGGCCAGATAGTATCATAGTGTCCAGAAAATAGAAATGCAACAATATAACACCAATGAAGAATCGTAACACTGAAAACCAATGTCAATGAGAGCTTGCTCTCGCCACCACCAACATGAGTGTCCAGCCCCTATCTCCCAACTTGGCGCTCGGCGCCCAGCCTACTTCCTACACAGCTACAGTCTGCCTACTAATTGACAATGCAACTGTTGACGTCAGCAGCCCCCAAAGCACTTGAAGATGTTGCCCAATGCAGACCATCGCCAATACCAGGTATGTGCCCTCACATCATCATCATCATCATCATCCTTCTCTCTCTCCCCTGACTTACTCCCACGTCTTCCCTCTGTACACCCGAAGACCACCCCTGCGCCTCACTGTAGTCCAAGCCCATCCAGCTATGGAGGCTGGGCTATGGCGCTGCCCTCAGCAGCGCCCTGCTCCCTGCACGACCGCACGCGCTAGCACCTTGCCTCTCAGCGCCAGCAGCAGCCCACGAGTGTCCGCTCCAGTAGCGCTGCCGCCAGCATGCAAGTGCTGAATGAGGCTCCAGGCAGCGAGCTCTTTCCTATATGGAAAGAGCCTGCCTGCCTTCGCAGCCTGGCTGGCCTAGGACTGGGCCGAGAAGCTTCCGGTAGGCCCCAGGATGCTGCGCCTCTGTTGCAGCTACTGCGCCTCATTCGGTTGGGCCTCCCAACTGTCTGTGTATGAGCCCGCGATTCTCATCCAGGGCCTGCATTTTTTTTGGAAAAGCCTGGAAGGCCATGAAATGCCTCGCTGCTCGGCTTGTGTTTCCCTCAACCAACTGGCGAGACGAAACTGCCTGGACCCCAAATACAAAATTGACAGCTTCAGGCCTCTCGTGATTTGTTAGGCCCGCCTTCACTTAGGGCGGGCACATCTGCAGCAAGAGGCCCCTTAGGCCTGAGGAGGACCCAGATCCTCACAGGGGTACAAATTGTTTTTAAAGGGGCTAGAGGGCTTGAAAGGGTTGCCTTGGTGATTCGGTTATTTTCTTTTTTTATCTTCAGTTCCATGAGGAATTCTGATGTGACCCTCAGCCAAAAGTTGTTTGTATTGCAATTCTACACAACATTCCAGATATTTTTGGACTTCTTTTTTTTGGGCGCTGGGGCTGCCCAGGACCCTGCCCGGGGGTCATGCCGGGGCGGTCACCCTCAGCCAAAAGTTGTTTGTATTACAATTCTACACAACATTTTTTTTTTCCAGATATTTTTCAAATTTTTCTTTTTTTTTTGGCGCTGGGGTTGCCCAGGACCCTGCCCAGGGGTCGTGCCCGGCCGGTCACCCGGGCGTGTTTCCGGGCATAACTTGGGTGCCCGGGTGCCCCGGAAAACGGCTTAGGAATATAGAATATAATAAGCACAGGTAGTTGTGAAGTTACCTGTGGAGTTGTCTTAGCATGATATGCTATGTCCCATCACACACACACACACACACACACACACACACACACACACACACACAAACATCTACTCACAAAGCAGTCACACATGCAAAACAAGAAATTAAAAAGAAAGACAAAGTATGCACCCACACCCTGCATGTCATGGCCAGGGGTTGAACCAGAAGACAGTGACAAGGGCAGGAGCAGGACGTTGGGGGTGGAGAACAGGGAGGACGAGGAAAAAAGAGAGAATGCAGCACTTGGTGCCAGTGATGTCACACACCAACATCTCTGTTATGCTGTTTACCAAATGTTGTCCGCTAGAAAGTTCATTCAGAATACAACGACTGTGTCAATCAATGAACAAATGGAAACAAGAAAGACAGCAAGGAAATCGAATTGTGTTAACTCTTAACACGATCTGTATCGCTGCCTGACCACGTTCTCGGCAACGGCCATCCAAACTTCGCATATGAGTCAAACAAACACACTTGGTACACACACCACAGAAGTTGGTGTGCGCATGTTTGGGTGTGTTGTGTCTGTGTTGTGTGTAGTACTGTGTACATGTGTGCACGTAAGTGTTTACATGTGTGTTGTCATGCTCGATATAGTCGGATATACACAACTCCACCAAAAAAAAGCATGACTGTGCCACTGTATGTTTGTGCGTGTGTGTGTGTGTGTGTGTGTGTGTGTGTGTGTGCATTGTTACAATCCCCAAACACTCTCTCTCAATCCCTCCTCGTACCATCACAAACTATCCATAAACAAAAAAAAAGAGCATTATAATAGAAGGTGCAAGGTGTGTGTGTGTGTGTGTGTGTGTGTGTGTGTGTGTGTGTGTGTGTGTGTGTGTGTGTGTGTGTGTGTGTGTGTGTCTGTAGGGGTGTACGTGTATAATTGTGAAAGCGCGTAAGTGTGTCAGTGCTCAAGCGTGCCTGAAATTGTCGATGCTAATCAATGACGACAGAATCAAATGAATTGATGACAGTGAGCGTGTGTCAGTGTGCAAACTGTGTCAAAGTGTAAATGTGTGCACTGAAATTGAATGAATTAAATGAGCTCATTAAGCTTGTGTAAGTGTGCAAGCGTGTAAATGCGAGAAGTAAAAGTGCAACTGTCTCAGTGTGCAATCAATGACGACAGAATCCAACGAATTGATGAACTCAGTGAGTGTGTGTCAGCGGGCAAACTGTGTAAAACTGTAAGGGTGTAAGGGTGTTTGAAAACTTAAGTCAACGAACGGCAATGAAATTAAATGAATTGGTGTAATTTGGTGGACAGAGTTATGGGATGACTAACCACCTCTGACGTCTTCGCCATTCTGTCAGATGCGCCTCAGGTATCGTCTACAAATGTGGAAATAAATGTCTCCACCTCTGCGCACCTGTACGCCGTTCGGTCCAATAGGGCGTCATCTCGTGCGCGCTTTTGGTAATCTAAGAACTCAGCATCCAAACGGTGAAAATAAATGTCTTCACCTCTACATGTGCACGCAATTGTGTATTAGACATGCCTTCGCCTGACAAGAACTCGAGAAAACAGTCAAGCTCACTGACCGCTCGACCTAGGTGCCGCCGCCTCCTCCAAGCGGCTAGGATGTCCTCACATCCTGCGGGTCATCTGAAGAAATGGCCATGAATCGGCACTCGAACGGACATAGGTGCCCCCGCCTCCTCCAAGCGGCTAGGATGTCCTCACATCCTGACGGTCAGCCAAAGAAATAGCCATGAATCGGCAGCCAAACTGACCGCAGAATGCAGACTCGGGAAGTTCGTTTGCCTCGAGCGGTTGAAAATATAGATGAACTTGCTGTATGCTTATAGCCTGTGTCACTGCCTCTTCGGCTCAGCTAGGACAATGTCGAATCTGGCGCGTCAGGGGTAGAAATGACAGACTGCAAATCACGCAGTCCAAACCGTCATCGATCTCCAGTAGAACTGATTCAGCTGACTGCTTGCTTCCTTGCAGATGCATACAAAAAAGTGTCCGTTTTCTGAAGTGAAGTCTATCCGGTGGCCAGGAGAAAGTAAGTCACAAGACTTGGTTCAAATGGTAGAAAATGATTCATTCAACAAAAGAGGTACTCACACTGGGACTTTTTTCGACTGATTTGATTTGTGGACATAATTGCAGTAAGGTACACGACCGCAATTGCGGTCAGATACATCTAGTCCTGAGAATGTTCTCAATTCACAAGCAATGTCAAACAATACACTGACAGAAACCCGCCTAAGGCTGCAATGACTGTCAACCGCTCCGGGACGTAATTGCAGTTGGATACATTCAGATCTGGCCATAATTGTGGTCAGGTACATCCAGAAAAGTCCTTGTGTGAGCGTTGTTCTCAACTCACAAGCAACATCACCCCCGTACACCCGATGGAGACGTCCGACTTACCAAACTAGGAAGCCCACGTCGAACTGCAATGAAACTCCAGACCACATTAGGACTTTCTCACCTGTTCTCTGCACATAGGTGCAGTCAGATACATTCAGCTCCGGGCATAATTGCGGTCAGATACGTCAAGGAAAGTCCAACTGTAAGCATACTCTCAATTGACAGGCAAGAACACTCCAGTGCATTGATGATGACAACTCACGAGTGTAAAACTTGGGCATGCCCAACTCAACCTGCAACGAACGTCAACCCCTGCCGACCTGAACACTGCAGCTGCACTAGTCCTCCGAGAAACCACGTCTTCTCCACGAGAGCAACCGGCAATGAATGTCACCACCTTCCCCTCGCCACAGAGCAATCATCGCCTGCCGACCTCACACTGCACCCGCACAAGTCCCCGAAAACAACCAATTCTCCACGACAGCAACCTGCAATGATTGCCAACCCCTCCCTCTCCCTCCTCAGACCGGTCCCGGCCTCCTGATCGCCGCAGCTGCGCTAATCCTCCACGAAACAACCTCGTCTCCATGACAGCAGGTGATCAAATTCTCTAAAAAGAAGGGCCTTCAACAGAGAGGTTACCGTCTTCACCTGAATTGACAGACTCAAACAAACTGATGACACAGAGACATGCTTGGTCAACTGCTACATGCAAAAGTGATTTAGTGGCAAATTAGTGCTCTATGGCACTTTTCCCATCCCTATCTAGTATCTACCGATATTTACAATCACCGACTAAGCACATCGATCCTCCAATCATACTGAATGTAACTCTAACAAGCTCATACATTCATTCTCTCCGCATTCCCCATTTCCCTGCTCTCTCTCTCTCTCTCTCTCTCTCTCTCTCTCTCTCTCTCTCTCTCTCTCTCTCTCCTTTTTGTACAATTGACAGCATGCACGCCTGCAGTCTACTCCTGTTTTCATGACCTAAATTGCATGCAGTGCTTGTGTTATGCTACCTGTAATTGTATATGTCTGTATATGTATACAACAATGTGATAACAGCAAAGAAGTGAGCTGAAGAGATTAAGTCATGGTTAAGCCTTAGGTGAAAACATGGCTACGAAATATTCCCAACAGAGCTCAAGGATTAACCATCACTTAACCTGTTGTGTGCTATGAATGCAACAAGCGCCCTTCGATCGACTATGTACATCAGTTGTTGCACTCCACCCAGCACAGCCAAAGATGTGCTGAAACAAGCCGGAAAAAAAAAAAAAAAAATGCAATTCTTGAACGCGTAAACAAGTCAGTTCGGTTGTTGTGGTGGCAATGAATGTGAGGATAATTGTGCGACGGATAAACGAGCCGCCAGCAGGGAGAGCGACTCGTGACACCACCGCCCGCAGCGGAGAAGGAAAATCACGACGACACCTTTGGGGCGCACGTTCCTGCTAATTTTCGGGCTTCGGCCTGAAACTGAAGCTTCGCTAAGTTCAAATCTTGAGTCAGCACCTGAAGTCTATCCTCCATTGCAGCGATCTCTTCATTCAGCAGCCGCACTTTTTGCTCCCAATAGGATGTCATCAGAGGGCCGTCCTCTGTTCCACCCGTCGGCGTTGACGATCCCGTCGGATAAGGAAGGACTTCAGAACTACTACTCTGCCATGCAGGCTCTTTCCCATGCTGCCAAGCCATGATTGAAAACAACATGTAAAGCTGTGTCGAGTTGGGTTGAGTTGCGTTGATGAACAAGAGTCGTGTGCTCAAGCCGAATTGAAATCCATCCCAGCGAAGGGGAAAAAAAAAAGAACAAAAAAAAATACATCCCAGTAAACACCACAGAAACAGACAAAACAGTCGAGTTTCAGAACACGACAATCCGAAAATCTGAGCGCGGGTAAATGAGACACTTGTTTATTCTTCTGCTTTTCCTTTTCGTACCCGCATTTGCCAGAAGCAGACACATTATCGATTCATCGATTCATTGATTCATCATTCACCGTCGCAGGGGTTTGTTAACTTTTTTTTTTTTTTTTTTTTTGACAGTCTCATAATCTGATGAATGTTGTAGGTTTCAAATCGTACTTCCGCCAATCTTCCACCAATCTCTATTGGATGGAGAGAGAGAAGTTCTTTCACGATTGCATCTCGCAATTCCATTGAAATCTACCTCAGTGCGTCAATGCACAGTAGCAGTGATATTTAACATAACACTGTTATAAATATCCCATCGAAAACGAAAAACTTCAAAAAAGTCCTTTGTCTGTATTTCAGTGTCGATTATGTCGAATCTATGTCAGTCAGTGTCAATCCTGTCAAATATAGAGGCATCCTTGCAACGTTATATCTCATTGTTGCGGCCAATGCAGTCTTAACCACTTATATAGCTTATATCATCATTTTTTAGCGTTCATGCGTTTGTTAAATCGTGGCGACATCCATTGTGTGCTAGCTCAGTTAGAACCTTAAACCACCAGTACCTGGATTCGAATCGTGGCTAAATACATTGTTCTTTCTTCTTTCTTCGATCGCCGGTGTCTTTCACTAGTCACAAAAAAAGCAATGCTGCTTTCTTGCTTGTCGTCTATGTGACTGGATTCGGATCGGCTGCTGCTACTGTGCCCATACCTTTCCGGCATTCCCTACCGTCTTCTCCTCAATTAGAATGTATGGTCATTAAACTATTTATAGCTGTATTTGGGGCAATTTTCAGTCTATTAGATGCAGCAACAATGACCAAATGTTCTATTCATTCTGTTCGATGGAAGACAGTAATGAATCTTGTGTCCACTTGCTTTTGCCGTGTGGTTGCAATTGTGCGCATGCAATCCATTCTTCCATTCCCCTGAATTCTGCCGCCTGAACATAATCTGCAGTGGGCCGGAACATAATCCGCCAGACAGAAAAAGAAAAAAAGACGGCAGCACTCTCTGAGAGCCATGAGCCACCATCAACGGGCAGGCCCCACAGGTGCTATATTCGTGCTTCGAAACCAGGAATCTTGCTGTCATAAAGGCCAGGTTCATGCAAGCATGAACATAGCACCCATGGAACCTGGCCCAAAAATGGCACCGAGGACACCTTCGGGAAAAATGGTTCTCATTTAATTGCGTTTTGTTCTGCGTTAACGCCGTTAAGAACATTTCGAAGCAAAAAAAAACAACAACAACAAACAAACAAACATTTAGAAGTGTTCTACATATCGTCAGACATATATGTATATGCCAGTGACATCTTCTGTTAGAAACATCGCCACTCCTCTTATTGTGTATCATCGTCGACGACATGCACAACATCGCCACTTGGCCAGGGATCAGCGGCCTGCTTCTTTGTCTACCC